CAATATTTGTGATTTAATCTCAGTATAGATCCAGCTGCTATATGAACTTCTAAGTGGTTTATTGGTGAACATTATAAAAAGAATCATGACGATCAAGGAACACAGCAAGTGTAAAGCAGAGGCTACAGAACATTAAGCTTTGGAAATCCCAGAGCACGGCTCAATCCATCAGCTAATAATGGAAAGTATATAACAGAATCAGAAATCTAATAAAGACATCATCTGATGTCTTTATTAAACTGTCAGGCCATGCAAAAAAGACTTGAACCAGAGAAACAACTAAGATGTCTACGGTTACACTGCAAGTTCTGTAAACGTCTGCTGCTCTGGTGGGAGAAACTGTCAGCAGCACAACTTTAACATGCTACTGATCTAGCCTGTATGGAACAGTGGCATGAATACAGCTGTTGTTGAATGAAATCAATAAGAAGTCAAATATGCCATTTTTAATATGTCATGTATGTGGATCTTATCAGATAAGAGGAAAAATGTATATGTTTGGCGTACATGCACAATGCCTTGTATGACCAAAAACTAGTACACATTGATTGCAACACACCATCCACACCATCAAATAATGGTGGTGGCTGAATCATGCTGTGGGTAAGCTGTCTCTTTTTTTAGCAGGGACAGAAAAATAAGTTCATGATGATAGGTTAATAGAGTCAAGCACGAGCCAAAACCTGAAGAAAAAAGAAACCCTTAGAGGCTGCAGAAAATTTAAGACCAGACATGGAGGTTCACCACCTCAGCAGGAAGGTGGTGAGAATGAGTAGCTACAAAGCTACCGGATGTCTGTAGCTTCGGCTGCAGAGTTACAGAGTTTAGCTCAAAGCATATTCGTATGTTAGAATTACCAATTAGAAATCCAGATTTAAATCTAATTGAGAGCCACCAATAAGACTGGAAAGCTGATGTTCAAAGATGCTCTCTCCTTTTAATCTGGATGAAATTGAGCCATTTTTCAAAGATAAATATGCAAACAGAGGTCAACCCCATTACATGTAAAGCTGATAGAGATTTAGCAGTTGAAATTCACATCACAAATGCATGCCACACTTTTACTTTGCTATTACTCTGGACTACTTTGTGTTTATCTATCTCAGCAAGTAATAAAAATTGGGAGAAGGGGTGTAAATATGTTTACAAGGTACAATCTCTCCTATTGACACACTAATGCAGATAAACTGGATAAAAACCTACATCCACCATAAAGGTTCAACATGAAGCAGAATTTACATGAGGAAATACAATCTATTGTCAAATAAACCCATATGATCATTGTAATATTGTCTTGCTACATAAAGACAAAACAAGAACAACTAAATTTATGAGAAATAAAGAAAGTAAACCCGAAAATATATTTTGAAAAGTTATCATAAGCTGTGTGGGCCTGGAGACCAACCAATATGAGTAGCACCAGTATACCCACCCTCAAATTATGTAATATAAATATTTTTGTGCTGCAATGTGTTTGTTTTGCTGTGAAGAGATCCAATGCCATAAATGTAATTTTACGAATCATCAAATCATAAAGCTTTGACTCTGTAAGTTGGAAACTTGGAGTTTAAGGCTGTAAGAGTTTGGATAATTCTGAATATGTAAAAAAAAAAAAAAAAAAAAAGTTGCTTTTTTTTAGGATAGCATACAGGGTGAACGATCTTGCCTTCATCTTCAGTCAAATAACAAAAATATTGGGATCTTTTGACTCTGTTAGACCTCGGATTTGCTGCAAAGTTGTGTCATTCCAACTTTAGGTCACATTTATAGTTCATGTGGGGTTGCATGAGAAGAGGGAAAACAAGGAAGCTGTGACTAACATACCTCGTGATAACATCTTACTGTAAAGGGACTGATCCCCACTCCCTCCCTCACACACATACACACACACACACACACACACACGTGCAGACACAGGTGATGAGCCTGCTGCTCTTTTAGTCATCCGTTATGCAAACAACAGACGTTCAATTGCAAGTTTCCTCTGATTAAAAAGACCTAAATGGGTTATGCAAGTTAGGCTGAGTGATTGTTTCTACTCCAATGGGACAAGAAGGATTGGTGTGCATCAGTTCAACATGCGCTGCACTTTACAGGCCAAAGCTGTTGCCAAAAGCCACGGAAGTCGCGGTTTGTTAAGGAGGAAATACTTTAGCAGACAGTGGCCGAAGGCTAATGCTGCCAAAGACCAAAAGCACCACCGTAAATAATCACTGCAGGTAGACAGACAGTATCATTTTGTGTGGTCAGCTTCAGAGGCTTGCGTGTTGTGTTAACTTGCTGCATGATCGTGACTGGCTCACACCCAGTGCCTGGGTGACCTGTGTTTGCATGTAGCAGTGTGAATTCTGAATGCATGCTGTAAGTCATTTACACAGCTGGGCTTTTAAACTCCAGTGACTCAATACAGGACGTCCCTGGCCTGGGGTCTGTCCCAAAAAACCCACACACACCCTCAGCTGGCTCCTCTGGACTCACAACAGAGATCCAAGAAGCAAAAACAAAGCGGATTGAGAAGGATTAGCCAAAAAATTCATATTAAGTCATTTGGTGGCTCCTTCAGCGAATCACTCTACTACTTATATATGGACTTTAACAAAGACGGAGGTCCATGTATGAAAATGAGCCTTTGCTGCAACCAGAGTGCAAAGTCTGACTTATATGTGTTGGCTTTACAGATGCAGAGTCACACAGCAGTTTGAGGAGTGTTTTTTTTTTTAAATAAAAACTGTGCCTTTTTAGTTCTCAGACAACCTAAATGAGAAAACAAAAGCCACAAAGTGCAAATGTGGAAACGAAGGAATTTAGAGAGGAAACACAGTCAGTTTAATTGCCATCACTTTCTTCTCTCTCTCCTTCTCCCTTAACATTTTAAGGGTGAAAGTGAAAGGTAATGAAGCAATGAAAGAAAGGTCTTCCACAAAGACCATTATTTATGGATAAAGGTCTTTGTGGATAAAATGATAAAAACGCAAAATTCAGCAAACAAAAAAACACTATTTGCAGCATGTGACAGAATGTCATCACAAATACCCTCTTTGTGTCTAAATGAGAGACATGAACATGTGCTTTAAAGGCTCCATCTGGCCAAAGGGCATTTAAAATTAGATTATCTGCAAGACATAAAAACAGAAGTGTGACTTTCCTTCTGCTACTTTTTAACATATATTCAGTTGAACAGTTGAACCCTTTTCTCATGGAAGCCATCTTTCAGAAGCCAATAAGAGTGGGTTTATCTCTTGTCTTTTTGGCTCCAAAGCCCTCCGCTACCCCTTGAGGCTGCTGCAGCTTTGCCTCTTGACTTTGTGAGTCTATGTGGTCAAATCCATCTGTGCTGCAGCCTGTTGAAAATAGTCACAATACATCAGCTCCCACAGTAATTACACATTGCAGTGAAGGGAGCCAGTGTCACCTCCCTCTTTCTTGCCAAGATACTTACACAATGGTCTTTCCAGGATTGAAAGCAAGTAGGGATATATATATATATATATATATATATATATATATATATATATATATATATATATATATATATATATATATATATATATATATATATATATATATATATATATATATATATATATATATATATATATGTATATATATATATATATGTATATATATATATGTATATATATATATATATATATATATATGTATATATATATATATGTATATATATATATATATATATATATATATATATATATATATATATATATATATATATATATATATATATATATATATAAAACCTCACTAAAGCTACCTAAACATGATCCTGAAGGTCCCACTGTGAGACATGATACTGACAGCATCATGCTGTGGGGATGATTTTTCTGATCACAGACAGTAGAGGTAGTTACAGTTTACAGGTAGATAGGTGGAGGTAAATAAAAGGGAATCCTGAAATGAAATCTTTTAAAGGCAGCAAAATACTTGAGAATGGAGTAGACGTCTTAAATCTTAAAGCAGAAAAACAACCAAGATTATATACAATAGAATGGTAGATCAGTACATAATGAGGTGTTAAAATGGACCAATCAAAGCCCAGATGTTCAACTGAGTATCTGTGGTAAAACAAGAAAAGATATTAAGAGATGCCCCACTTCCAGTCTGACAGAGTTTAGGAGGAACAAGCAGCCGTTTCAATCAGATGTGCTCCAGACTGACAGCAGTAGCAGCTTAAGGTGGTTCAACAAAATATTAACTGAGAGGACCCGAACACAAATGCACGCCTTACTTCACAGATTATTTGTAATATTTCAAAAACCTATAAATTTTTCTCCCACAATTATTCACTACATTGTGCATCCCCATGCAATAAAATCTGACTGAAATAAATTGAAGTTCACGCCTGAACGGGGCAATACGAGGTAAAGCACTGCATATACATAAAAAAAAAATAATAATAATAATTACCAATGTGAAGTGCATGCGACAAAGTCACAACTCACTCATTTGCAAACAAATCTGATTAAACTTAGCTGAAATCGCTGCTGACTGGCATTATTCTGATACCTCCGTTTCTACAGGGATGTCTCCAGATTAGAGTGAAAGGAGGACCTGGTGGTGCACTTTGAACTCATTCCTCTGTTGACTCATTCTTCAGATAAGGCCTGGCTGACATATTAGCTGCGAGCTGCTCCCTCATCCGCAACTAAAGCACCTGAAAATTATAGTTCCTCTCAGCTGTTTAACAAAGGGGTTCAGTGGAATTTGACTCTCCTGGTATTAGCTGGGAAACTGCGCTTTGGTTTTAGAAACACAGTTATTGTGCGTGCGCGCACAGGTGGTGCAACCGAAGAGTTCCTAAGCTGTTCTTGCAGACAATATGGCATAAAAGTGACCCTAATGCTGTTTTCACATATTTCAATCTAAATGAAAAGCAGACGCAATTTTGAAAAAAAAAAACAGTTTTATATATGTATAGACGGTGGATTTTTCTTATGGAAGAAAAGATGCCGATGAAGACTTGAATAAATAAAGAAGCTTACCTAAATTCACAAAGCTCATGACCATGTCAGCGTCATTCAAGAAGTTGTTATCTTGCAGGCTGGCAATCGGTGGGCCTTGTGTCGTGAAAATGGGTTTGTAAGGGTAAGAGTATCTCGTCTCGTCCCCATCCGTAGACATGGCGTTGTACAGGTCCAGCATGAACATCGGGGCAGCGTTGTGCTTCCCGTGGAGGTGAGGTCGCGGCCGGTGCGGCAGCCCCAAGATCGACAGGATCTCCCGCTGCATCTCCTTGCGCTCCTGGCTCTTCAGCCGGCGGTGGATGAAACTTGAGTGGAACTCATTGTCCAAGGTGAAGTTCGTAAAGGTTATATCCGCCAGCACGCAGTAGCTCAACACCAAGAGTAAAACCGGCGCACGCCTGTCCAGAATATGTGCCATTGCGCCACTCCGTGCGTAATTGCGCCAATATCGGGTCGCCGAAACTCAGACAAAAAATATATGGAAGTCTTAACAGCAAGGCAGCCCTGTAATCAATATCCAAAAATCACTTACAAGCCCTCATGTTGAGGGGAACCCTTCTAAGTCATTCATCAAGTCAGCGGAAAAGTCCTTTAATAAATCACTTTTCTGGATGGATAGAAGTAGCGTGCGCCTCGATCCTCATTCAAAACCTTGCGGTCAAAAGTTACCAACTGCGGTGCAGCATGCAACTGCGGAGAGGAGACTGCGAGCGCATGCATTTCACTAAACAAGTTGTAAGGAGGCGCTGAGCGCTGGGAGGAGTACGAGAAGGAGGGAAAGAGAGACGAAGAGGGCGCATACGCTCTTTCTCTCTCTCTCTCTCTCTGAAAGGAGAGCGACTTTTGCTTTGTTGCCAGTTGGAAAAGGTCTCCAAGCGACACGTGCAAAATAGAAAACGAAGTGAATATGGGATGTGCAGTATGAGTTTCGTTTGCGAGGATTCACCGGCAACAGTAAAACTGATGATTTCAGCTGAGGTTTAGGAACACACATCAGTGGAAAGAGTAATAATTTTTCGTCAGGGATTACTTCAATACCGTGGGAGCCGTTGCAACATGCAGTTGCTGCGCTGCCTAATCTGCAGGTGCACTGTCTGAATACAAGAGGTCCTGTGGGTCTGAGCCCAGGCTTTATAGTCTGTTGTTCTTTGATGTCAAAAAGGCACAGATACAGTTAGAGCCAGCCCGAGGGTATAAGCAAAATGTGCGGCTGCTTAGGGCCCACTGCAAGCATGGTAACATCAAAAGAATTAATACAGGAGAGTTTAATGGGGCAGAATAAGTACACAGACATTAAACAAATTTCCCATTTTCTTTGCAAATGATGTGTTATTGTAAGTTTGTCAGTATCGCTGTGATAGCTGAAACGCTCGTGGTGCATCATGTCTGTGCTCAAAAGTTGTTTTTTTATGTTTCTGTTGGAAACGTATTATGAATGTCAGTAGAAGTTGGAATTCTCACTGGGAAATTTGGAGGTCAGCAGGCAGTCCAGAGTTCACTATCCAATATGGCTGCTGCTCTGCTTTAACGTGGTTAAAGTTATAGATTTAAACTGCTTTTTAGCAATTCTCATGGTTTGAACCTTCTATTTGTGATCATTTTCCTTTCTTGAATATTTTGAATATTGCATTTCATTTTATGAAGTGTCTGGGCATCCCAGAGTTGATTTTAAAAATCTTATAAATGTCCACTTGGTCTTGCTTCTGGGTACCTATAAGTACGGTGTATGATTTACACCAGACTCATCTTTCTTTGCAAACTTTTAGAACAGCCAATCAGCTGTTTTTAGTTGTCCCAAAAACTAGGCAGAAACTTAGAGGAGATCAAACTGTTTTTGTTGTGACTCCATTGGAGTATATTGCCTTCAACTATTAAACAGGCCTCTTCTCTCTCAGCTCGTCAGTCTCTTTTAAGCATCTTTCTTCAATAGGTTTTGACCCGGGGTGAGCTGACATGTTATTTTTATAGCTTTTTTTTCCTATTTTTAACGTGACTGTTTTAATGTGTGTTTTTTGTCTGGATCTTTATTAAGGGATATGATAGTAACAATAGCGAACACACATGCACAACATATTTTTGTGGAAAAAAGAAAATCAATTATGCTCTGCTTTTGTGCTGGATTTTTCCATAAAATTTCCAAAACACATAATTTTTTTAAATGACAAAATTTGGCAAAAATAAAGTTTAAAGAATGGGATTTGCAATGCAGTATAACCTCCCACCCCCTGCCTGCCCCTTTTAATACTACTATTCTCTTCTTCAAAAGCATTCCTCTCTGCTTTTTTCAGTAACATTGTTTGAAACACCTCACATTTTGCAACTGCTTTTTGAGTACACCAAATTCCATTTGATTTTAACAGGCCTCTCAATGGGGCTTGTAAACATTTCTATCCGGTGCTCAGACAGATCCAGCTAATGGCTGCAGGTGTTTACAATACAGCAGCTTCTGACTGGGACCATAAAAAGGGGTTTGAATGAAAATCCACATCTTCCACTCTTCATCACTTTCTTTCAGTGTGTGATTCTTATGTTTTATTTCCTGTGTTGTCGGGTTGGCGAGGTCAAATCCCCTCCAATAGCTCCTCAGTTTGTGTCCAGAGAGGGACAGACAAACCTGGACAGCACAAAAGGAACAGACCCCCTTTTGTTTAGTCCTTCGTGAGCCCGGTGACAGTCCCTGTAAACAGTGGGCACAAGCTGAGGCCAACCAGGGTGAGCTGCACTGAGGGGCCTTTGACAAGGGGAATTAAAGCAGAAAAGCAGAACAAACCATGTTTGAAAGCTCTGTCGGCGAAACGCATTGGATAAAGCTGTTGAAAGAATGGCCATGATTTTCCTTGAGTAAATCACACTGAATGACTTAGTAAAGAAATGTGCCAAAAATTTCAGCTACATTGATGAATGTGAGGAGACAATGTCACGACAAACTGTGAAGCTTTTAAAAATACTATTTTTTTTTTATCCTAAATGCCTTTTATGTGCTGGTGGGAAGCTTTAAGTCATTCAGTCAAAGATTGGGACAGACTTTGTTCAGTTAGATAAGAGACTTGAAATTACCTGTCTTCATAAATCACAAATATGAATTAAATAGGTACCTCTATCTTTAATTTCGACTCCAAGTTTGGACAACAGAAAAAATTGTTTTCCGCTTTATTATTATTATTATTATTATTATTATTATTATTATTATTATTATTATTATTATTATTATTATTATTATTATTATTATTATTATTATATTTTTCCAGGTTTCAATTAAGCTCTTTGTCAGGATGAAGTAAAGAATGGTTGTATGGTTCATTCAGACCACATCATTTTGTTACTGTCCAAAAGATGCTAATCACTGAAACACTGAAATCTAACATGATCTGCTGAACTTTGGTTTTCTGCCTTCTGTTTGTTCTTTATTTTTAGTGGATTTCTGTGTTTCGTGAAGTTATTCACTTCCTGCTCGCCTGTATTCAGTTAATGTTTTAGTTTCTTCTCTTGATCTCCTTCTGCGTTACTTTTGACTGATCTCCAGGCAGTCTCGCTCAGTTGCTCCGGTTCATTATCTCCCATAGCTGCTGCACGTCAGTTAGTCACGCATCTCTTCCTTGTGCCAACAATCTCCGCCCCACTATTTGTACTCATTTATGTTATTTTCACAGTCGGTTTCTCCTGTTTCTGTTTTCTCTTGTTTTGTCCGGTTGTTTTTCATTCATGTTTAGTTTTGTTTCATAAGAGTTCATTTTGAGTAACTTGCTCACTTCAATCTGATTTGAATATTCCACCAAACCATGACATGAAAATAATATTTTGGATCATTTGGAAATGACAATTTAGATTTGTATCTGCTGAACAATTAGCAATGTTTCCAGCATTACCACTTTGATCAAAAATTGGACATAAAATCAATACAGACTTTTTAATACAGTGTTAAATATTGAGTTTGAGTGATGTTATCTGGATTTTCATGGCAAGTGTTATTGACGATCCTTTTTATCTGACACGCTTGATAGTTTGCAACATTGGTAAGTGGACCCAACAATTTTTGGTGATGTTAAAGCCACTTTGTTTTAATCTGTTTTTGGTGAAAAAAAAAAAAACTATAACCCAGTATTGCTGGGTCACAATTTATAACCCAACTATAAATGTGTCAGGTCAACAAAGGAAAAAGACATTGAATTTCTATCAACTCAGCAGTTTTAAGAAAGTAGGAGGAAGTTGCTGCAATAAAAGAGTTATCCTTTTAGAGTTTATTACTGAGATCACAAGCTTGTGGTATCTATCGTCATCTGCTTGTACTTCTTCAGCTTGACTTGGGTTTTTATATCAGTATTTAGCACAAAGCAACTTTCAACTGCACTTAAACATTTCTCCCCTTCATCAGCAACTCCTCTCCACAACAGGTTGGCAGAGGATGCAAAGTTTCAAAGAAGACCACACAGAAGTGCAGTAAAACATCCCCGGACACAATTTAACACTCATGTAACATTGTCATCTGTTCGTCACATTGTTCTCTCTTTCTCCTTCTTTTTATTTTTTGTTAAAGCCCGTGTGCATTGTGCGAGATGCTGCTCTTCCTGTCTGCTTGGTTAACTCTGTTTAGGAGCTCAAAGCATGTGGTCAGAGGTCATATTAATATTTATTTCATGTGTTGCCTCAGAGAGCAGCAGGCAGTAATGCTTTGAAGATCTGTGGATGCAGAAAGGCGGATGAGGTTTGGGGAAGTGGGTCTGTAGAGTAAATCTGTGTTAAAAAAAAAAGTCTTAAAAGGTTTAAATGTGGGGTCGGCTGCAAGGACATGATATGGTGCAGGCACATGTTCTTTTTTTCCTCCCCACCCATCTGCCTGTCCAGTCCTCCTGGTTTTTGGCCTAACCCTGATGTGTACAGTGCACAAGCCGATGGCCTATTAAAACAGCCTAACCAGGTGGAGCTTGGCTATTGCAAATGTTCCCCTTCTGGTGTCTCGTACATCCAGGGGCCTCATGAACATATGAGACGCAGCTGTGAGAAAAGCAGACAGAAAAAGAAAAAGAGTGGGTGGACATAAGAAAGAGCTTTCAAATAGTTCATTTCATGTCATACACTTAGGATTTGGTTATGGTTATATTTATTCTTGAAAGACTTATCCATTAAATTTTAGTCAAAATATTCTACATTTTAAATACAGAAGTGACTTTTTGAAAAAAGTTGATATCACCCCTTGGATTTGTAATCTTTTATGTTAAGTGATGTAAACTGAGTTTATGGAAATATATTTGTTATTGTATCAATCCCAACCAAAAGAAATAGATATTGTGTGACTTCAACAAACATGGATGAAGCAAAATAAAATAAAATAAAAATTAATGAGTTGTTGGATGCTATATTCCCATATCCAAAGAAATAAATAATAGAAACTACCTGGATTCACATTGCAGATATCCTGTAAAATATGTAATGACAGTCAAAATAGTTTTGTTGTATTGATTTATTACAACTTCCCTTATTTTTCAGTTTACCTCCTGGAAGTAAATTCATGACTGTGTTAAGTCAAGAATAAACTGTGAATTTAACCAATGAGTTTAATTACAACCAAGGCAGACCACTAATGGTCCTGTAAAAATGGGAAATCACTTTAATTTTAAGCCTATTTCATGTCTGAAACATGAAGTAGGCAGAAAAGTAACACATGATGTCTTGATGTAAATAAATTACAGACCAGTTGAGAAAGACTGACATCTATCAGTCTGAAAAAAAGGTTACAAAGCCACTTCTAAGAAGTTGAAACTCAGGAGAAAGCCACTGAACCATTAAGGTCCGATAGAGACTCCTGTTGGCCCACTTGCCTAAGCAAATAAGCACAAATCAAGAACCCTCACTCTAATATCTGTATTGCTAAAAAGCACAAAATTATAGTCCAAGTCGCTTTGTTAAAATCTGGGCTTAGACCTGATTGAAACGCTTTGGGGTGACGATCTAACGCAGGCCATCTAAACTCTTCAACCTGAATTTCTCTCAACTCTAAAAATATTCTTCCAGCGCTGTGATAAAGAATGACATGTATCTCAGATGCTTGATGGCAGTAGCTGTTATCAGCTAACAGGTTTTGTGTTCAGTTACCTGTTGTCACAGAACAGAATTGAATAGTCTTTTACCATTAAAGAACCAAATCATTATTTAAAGGTGCATCTCATTTGCCTTTGAGTTTTATTGATCTGAAACTTGTAAATGTACCTAAAAAAAAAAAAAATAGATGAATTTTGTAATTGAACAAACACTTTTTCAAAGTACCGCATCTTCAAACATAAAATGAAAAGTGACAGAAACTGGCAACTGCTACTCGATACTAGCCTTGACATGAGGTCTATTTTATTAGTTTAGAATTGCCGTAACAAATGGGTTTCATCACATGTCATAATGAACTGTCAGGACTTTTTTGGTAAGATATACAATATTACGTTATTTGAAACGCTGCACCTTGCAGGACTCTTTGCCATCACTCACTACCTACTTTCGCCTGTATGAGGTATGTCCTGTCAGCTCTGTGTTTGTCTGCAACTGGATATGGCACTTGGGAAAACCGGAGTAGCTTGGATCTGATATATAGTCCTCAGCAGTGCAGCCAGACCCATCAGTTATAGCTGCTGGTGCTGACAGTCAGAGATACCATTTTAGTTAAGCTTTCCCTTAATGCCAGGCTTAGTTGTGCTTATTCTGTTGCAGGATGTTATCATTCAGGCACGCTGTCACTTGTGTCATCAAGTTCGACAGTGAGGCACACTGCAAACCCGGCCACATACTTATCACCATCCATTACTGAGGTGTGTGGGCCTGATAAAGCTCCAGCCAGTTTAATGCAGCTCCAGGCTCTGGCTCCATTAAGATTCCTCTCTGTGTAGCGAGAGGCCTTGCCCCCTTGACTCTTGGTCCCATCACTCCATAAGGCCATGTGGATCTGTCAGTCAGACTGGACACTGGGTGATCTGTTAGCGCCTCTTTTGGGGATAGTGGTCATTAAAGAGAGGGCGGTATAGCCAAAATGACCAAAGCTGATGAGAACCAGACAAATGGGAGACCCAGAGGTATACTGTGTGAGTGTGTGTTTGGAGTGGGGGGCAACCGAGTAGGAGGTGGATGTGCTGAACTATGTGGATTGTGAAAGGAGGGCAGCTCTGTTTTCTATTTGTGAGGATTAGGTTGACAGATCTGTATTTAGTTTCGATGGGCCTCTAGCTGCAGCTAATCCCCTTCACCTGCAAAGAGTGGCCCCCACCCCTCCTTCCACCTAGCTCTTTTCTTTCCTCTGACCCTGGAGCCCTCTGTTTCCCCCCTGAGTTCCCTCCTCTTGCCCAGCACAAACACTCATCCCGAGACATGCATATGACTCGTTGCACTCTGTCTCCTCAGGTTAGGGCCTCACACTCGACGCAAATCTCTCTCTGGCCAAAGGAACAGCGGGGGTCTCGGGGCTTTCTGGGAAAGATGAAAAAGGACTCTGGCAACATGCGGTCTCTCACATATTAAGATTATTTTCAGCTTGAGTGAGGGGCTGCTCATCATCTCTAAAAGATAGCAATTACAAAGATATTAAGAGCCAATGCATCAGAAGCAGCTTGTCACAGCCACTCAGGAAAAAGGGAGAACTTTAGGAAGTATTCAGGGTCAGGTCGGGGGTATGGACGCCTATTTTTTCAGATCTTGGTTCACACACTCCGACCAGGCTTTCACACTGAGAAAGAAAGACAACAGTGCCACTGAAAACACACACTCAGCATGCCTGCTAACAGGTCTAAAAGCTGTAGACACTGGAGAACTTAATATTCAACGGAGCGCATTTTCATTTTTTTTTTTTTTTTTTAAAGAATGAAGCAACATATTAGCTAAATGACGCAACAAAGAACCAGAAACAGATTTCAAGGGTTGTTGATGATAGAAAACATGCACAATATTAGGGTTGTCACATTTTGTTAAAGTCATTTTATTGTTTGGGTTTCAAACAGCTGAAATTAGTCAACCATACAGTAAGCTAACTCTTTATCAAGAAGGGATTATAATATCTTATGAAAATCTATAACACATGTTGGCATGTGTTGTCATTGCATTTTCAAAATGATGCTTAAAAATTCATTACACGTGTACCAGATGAAACAATGTTATTTTTTTGTTGTTGTAGACTTTTACCACACCAAAACAAGCCTCCACAGAAACAGACGCAAACAGCAGGACACACATATTCAGCAGACACACCTTGGACAAGTAGCAGCAGGCTCAGATAGAACCTCTCATTATTGAGGCCCACAGAGGCTGCTAATGGGAATTTTTTCTTAGCACTAGCCAGTGTTGGCTTATTACTTTAAACCACTACAGCCCACACACATTCTTGGATCTTAATAAAGGACAGAGCTACAAGATGAGTAATAACTATCAGCTTGTGAAAACAAAAATAGATTTGTGACCTACTTAGTCAGGTGTCCAGTATTTTTTAGAGATACAATTAAGTGTACACAATAATACCACAGTGAAGAACTTATACACTAGGATTATATTCATATTTTCTGAAAATTTCAATGTATTTTGCAGACAATATTTGATAAACCAGTTGTTGTAACTGCAACTAAAAAGTATTGCCAGTATGTCCATAATAACTTTGTGCGTTTAAAGACCAAATACTTTCTTCATTCCTTTGTTTTTTCCAAAACAAATTGACCTTATTCAAATTGAGTAGCACAGATTCCCAATTCAATTTAGGTCTGGAACTTAAACAGGGCATCTTAACAGAGAAATACGCTTTCATAGTAAACATCTGCCTCAGTGTTTAATGATTTGTAGGTTTTTCTTCCTGCATTAACCCATATTTAGCTCTGCCCACAGTCACATTAACTCTAACCGATTTCCCTGTACCTGGTGGTGAGAAACATTCCCACAGCAGGATGCTGTCATCAGCATGTTTCACAGTTGTTGGTTTTTCATGTTGTTTTTTTTTTTCTTTTTGACTCTTTTCCAAAAAGACAGAGATTTTTAGGGCCACCAATTGTTCTACCAATGGATTCTGCCAAATCAAATATAAATCTCTGTAGCTCCTTTAGGATTACAATTGATATCTTGGCTGCTTCTCTGACCAAAGCTCCCATCTTTCAGCCTTGTCAATACAGATGGGCAGCCACGTTTTGGTAGGTATAAAAATGTGTCGCTGTCTTTCCATTTTTGAAAGTTGGATCAAAAAGCACTTTTTAGGGCATCAGAATAGATGGGGTAAATACAAGTCCAGTATTTTTTTATTGAAGCACGTTGAAAATAATGGAGCCTATAATTTTGCAATTTTGCACTTATGTAAAATACTTGAGTTTAAAAATATTATTTCAATAATTTAAAAAAAAATGGAGCCTATGATTTTGCAATTTTGCAAAACACTTAAGTTCAAAAATATTTATTATTTCACTAATTTTTTTCAAAAAAGCAACATTATAAAAAGTGTTTTTTTTAGTTCAAAATCAAATTATATTAAAATGATTTCATTTGTCCTCATCCAATAACCGCACGAGCCAATCAGTCTCAGCTGCGTTTAACCGCAAGCTAACTGTCAGCTGTTAGCTTCTTTTTAGTTGGTTTTGAAGAAACATAATGGCTGCTTTTGAAGCACAGTTGTTTTCTGAAATCGACAAGCTTCGTGTTCAGCTGCTGAACAATGTCGACATTATAGCAGAGAACCAACGTGCTGTGGAGGAAATCAGTCAGTAAGTTCGCTTTTATTTCTGTCACTGAAGGTCAGTGAACGGTGCTAGCGTTAGCCAGCTAGCTTATTTGTTGTTTTCTTTTCATTTTAAGAAGGGATGTAAAATAATTCATAATTATTTTACTCAAGTGAAAGTTGAAAGTATGGTGTCCTAAAATTGCTCCAAAAAGTTTTTTTTGTTTGTTTGTTTGTTTATTACTCCAAGTAATGTAACTGCCGTAGTCGCTACCCATACCCGGCTGTCACAAACAAGAAAACCATATGAGCATTATTACAATGTAAGCACATCTCAAATTGGTATGAAAATATCAGAGCAATTACTGACAGAACTCACTTTCCGATTACGCTCCGCATTAAATCACGTTGCAGTGATGTAGATTAGGCTGTACTTTTTAGTGCTCTTTTGCTGCTGTTCATTTTGTCAACGCATATATTGGTTGCCATTTATTTTAGTTTAACAAAAATATCAACTATGAATAATTAAATAAAACAAATAAACTTGTGAAATGGGAAAAATAAGTTAACAGACGACGTAAGGCCATAATGTCCAGTAAGTAAATGTAGGATGAGAGAGTAGCTATGTTTAGACCTGAAGTGTGAACATGATAAATATTAGCAGATTACAGAAATGTGCACCAAGGCTGCTGGATGGCCCAGCTGGTAGAATGCACTCCATGTGCAGAGGCTGATCCTCGACCCAGTTGTCTGCAATTAAATTACTTTTTGTTTCAGATTGTTACTGAATTAAGCTGTTTGTCTTTGCGTCGCTATTTTCCTTGCATAATTTCATATGCGTTTGTCAAAGATCAATAGATATTTTATCAATTGCTTTTATTTTGTTTAATCCAGGGATGGAATTTTAACTCAAATTGAAGGTGTAATCCTGGGAATAATGACCAGTCTGTCAAGAGATGAAGTACCTACTCTGGTACTGCCCAACAGATCCAGCTGGGCCAATATCTGGTAAACCTCATTTGAAACTATGATGATGTGAACCTTTTTTGTTTCTGGCGTATTCCAGTCAGTGGCCTCACAGATATGCAGATCATAGTTGGTTTACAGCTTGTTTAAAATTGTGTGATTAAGTGAAACTTATAGAGTTCACATTAATGCGATCGCATATTCAGGTGTTTTTAGTGCTTTTACTGATGCTTTTTATTTTATTTTGTTTTTTCTCAGTTTTTTCTCCTTGCAATGAAATAAGTTCCTGGCACCTCCTTGAAATACACTTGGCAGCATATCCAACGGATTTGTAGAGCTACAAATCCGTTGGATATAACAGTGAACTACACTTGGACCTTGCAAACCAAGGTTCTAAAAAGTTACAATTTCAGAATTGCTAACAGATTTCTTCATGGAATTTATAGAACATTTAATTATATTCTGGAGAAAGATAACGCTTTCTCTAAAGCTATCATAACAGTTTTTTTCTGCTTGAATGGAATACAGAGTAACACGGCATTGTCCATTTTGCATGACAGTTGTCTGAATAAATGTTTCTATGTTGGTGTCTGAATAAATGTTTCTATGTTGGTGTCTCACTTTCCAGAAAGATGAATACAAAAACTTAAAAAAATATATTAAAGACAATATCAGTATACCTAAAGCGCATAAACATTTTGGTAATACATTTTTGAGTCAGTTTAGTAATACTAAAATACTGTTGTGTATTTAAAATAGATAGTCCGATTAATCATACCATAATAATCTCATTCTATGCCATGACTTGACTGTAAATAAGTGTGTATTTATTGGTTATAAAGCCATGATTCTTCACTGCGTGGAGGGTGAGCTTAACCTTTCAAACATAAACACAAGTATTCCTCAAATAAATTAAAAAACACACACTAAACTTTTAACATGAAGCAAAGCCTTCAAAATTCAATATTTTGAAATTTATTGAAATGTATTGAACTTGCCAAATTACAAATAAAATTACAACAATACAATAAACAATAAACATTGAAAGGAGTGGGTAGAAATATAAACTTATTTAAACCCACGCCTTCACCAGGAACATCACAATACAAGTATTGTACACGTACATGATGATTACATTTTCTTCATTTTCTTAAGAGCAACTAAGCAGTGCGGTCAGACTGAATTTGCCTAATATGTTCCCTGTTCAGTCAACAGGATTGAAGCTTTAATTGCTTCCTGTTCAATAAAAGATAACAGTGATAAGGAAGATTTGCACCGACACATGCAAACCCATGAAGAGCTTTTAAAAAATGACTGGGTTGTGTTAATCTCAACCCGACAGTGAGCCTTTATGAACAAAGACTCACTGTCAGTCTTCTTTGGATCAAAACGTGTCACTCTTGAACTTAGTTCATTGTAAAAGTATAAAAAGATGAAAACAAAGTCAGGAGGGAGAGGTAAACTGGAATCTTCTCACAGGTGGCTCTAAAAATAAACATACAGCAAAGTGTAAATGGATTTTAATTTCTTTTTTTCATTCCAAAGTTTTGACAGTGCTGTCGGGCTTCAGATGAGTTCAGAGCATTCTGTCACCTCCATTAGGAGCGACTGTCCTTCATCTGTTACTAAATTTGGTGAGAAAGTACCCACACTTCTTTCACATCAGCTTCAAATTGAACTCTCCCGCTTGTTTTTAGTCAAAAGTTATTTCCAGCTGTGTGGTTCTTCATGTGGCTTTAATTTGTATTAATTATAAACATATGAATAAACTGCACAGACGGCAGTAAAAGTCAGACTTAGTTTTAGGTGACAAATTGGCAGAGACAGAACATGTTGAAAGAGGCTTTTAAGGATCAGTTCACATGGAAAAGAGCAGATTATTTTCTGGGTCTCTTTACTCCTCCTGTCTTGTAAAACGAGAAAAGAATTGATGATTGTGAGTAAAATATAAATAACAAAACATGTCTTTCTTTCTCTGTTCAAAGCGCAAATTCTGAAGATTCTTTCCGTCATCTACAGGCTGGTGCAGAGCAACTCTTATGCTACGAAAAGGTCATTTTCCCGAAAGCCAAATAAAAAAAAACGTCTCTTTTTTTTTTACATTCCTATGTCCTTGTTTAGTGGTTTTACAAAGAAAAGGCGGCATTTTTTAAATGTGCCCACTTTGAAGTTTTCTTCCACAGAGACATATATTACAACAACATACAGCTGTTTGGGTCGCAGAGAACTGTGGATAGTATAATAGATGACATCTCCTGCATGCTGAAGGTTCCTCGCAGATCACTACATGTGGTAAGTGTGCATATTCATTTCAGTCTGACAGATGGTTTACATAATTCAGTGACTGCTTGGCAGAAAATGCAAACCTCTTGTATTAAAAGCTTGTAGCAGAATTCTTTTGGACATTAGCTAAAATCTAACATATGAACTCTTTTAGATTAGTGCCATATTTCATTTTTGCTGCACTTCATAGTTCAGGAAACACCTGTGAAGTAAATAATGGTTTTACTGATCAAACAAAGATAGAATTGATGTGGAGTTCAAAAAGTCAGTGTTGTATAAAGGCATGTATCGCCATATGTCATATTGTATGTGTTTGTGTGTGTTTGTGTAATGTTGGTTTGCAGTTGGCCACATCCAAGGGCTTAATTTCTGGTGATCTGTGTTATTTGGAGGAGGATGGAACAAGAGTTGACTGCCACCCCAGCTCAGCAGTAAGTTTCCCAAAATATAAAACACACTTCCTCTCATATCAACTCTTTCTGGATATACAACAGATCTAATGCTTCATATGGGTTGAATATTTAGCGATTTTGCCTCGTTATAGCCACAAACTTAAAAAAATATTAGGGTTTTTCATGATAGCAAGTGCACAATTTACTTTGATCTAAAGTACTGCATCAGTCAAACTTGTATGTCGAGGGATGCTTTCCTGCTGGCAGGCGAACCACTGCTGCAGTTTCACAACTTTTGCACCCTTTAACATATTTGTTTCAGCATTGCCTTTTATTTAGCTCATCTTTCCATCAACTCTGACACACTATCCCAGTTAAACAATTACATTTGTCATTTTCACTTCAACTACCAAATAGTACATGACATGCTAGTAATCGTCCATAATCCATCCATCTATTCAGTTTTCAATTTTGCTTTCAGAAGCATTGTTATATTATAGCATCTGAATGATGACCTGCAACAGGGATTAAATTAACTCCACATATATGTGCAGATGTTAAGAATTGGCTATGCCTGTTTGTTTTGTTCTGCAGTACCGGTTTCTGTTGTGCATGAAGAGAAATAATGAGGAAAACAACCTAATAACCTATTAAAAGCTTAGTTTAAACATTCTGCTCTCCATGGTTACATTTTCCATTACAGCAAAGTGCAAATAGGGTCATGATGTGCAATGTCTAAAATGAATTAGTGATACTCGACAGACATACATGCTTGAACAATTCCTTAAACTTCTTTCTCTGTCAGCACATTTTCAGACACAGTAAAAGGACTCTTATTAACTCCATGTGTCGAAAGTAAAACAAAAAAAATTCTCATTAAAAGTATTTATAATAGTTTATTTTGTAACAAATGCTCCGTTTAACTCCCCACTGCATACAGCACTATTTAAGTAAGGTAATTAGTCAGCTTCTGTGTTGCTATTTTATGCCTCATTGGCACTTTTTCCAGCACATTGCTGTCACCAGCTCACCATATGGTCTTGTACTGTTGACAGGAACATTATGAGTGCATGTCTCAGTACTACACACAATGCAAAATTTACCATACAGCTCCATGATGTGTCAACTTCTCCACATGGATCCTTTTTGGTGAATCAAATTGACTTCATGAGATGTTTGCCTTTTGCAAACCAGTATTTATATCTCTGTATTTGTTTTGGTTGTTCTTTTCAGGCTGTTTCCATTTCCTCAAACATCGGTGGAATTAGAAGTATCCTTTAAAAGCTCAGTCTTAAGTATACATTCTAAAGTTGTTGTTTTTTTGTTATTGGACAAAATATGTCTTAATTATTAAAAGTCTTAATTATTTTCAGATATTGTGTCATCAGCTAAATTTATCATGATTGTAGAGAAGGATGCAACATTCCAGAGGCTGCTAGATGATGACCTCTGCACAAAACTTTCTCCCTGCATCCTAATCACAGTTTGTATTTAAAAAAAAATAAATAAAAATAAAAACATGTAGCCTTTTTTTAATGCAACTCTAGTCACAATAAATGTTATACTGATTTTGTGCGAGTCAGGGTAAAGGTGTGCCAGATGTTAACAGCAGACTGATGGTGAGAAAGCTGTGGGATACGTTACACATTCCCATCTTCGCCCTGGTGGATGCTGACCCTCATGGTACAGACGATTTATCTGAATGCAGATCAGCTTAACTCTCACGCATGCTTTGCATAGCTCACCACATCTATCAGGATGGTTCTCCTTTCATCTCTTGACACACACAGCTGGGTTGCATGTCTTGCTAAGTCAGCACATATCAGCCTCTAAACAGAACAGTACTTTGCAAAAGTATCCATACTGCCACACATCTCCATGTACTTTATTGTGATTTTATGTGGTAGACCAACACAAGGCTGTGCATAATTGGAAAGTGCAAGGAAAATGACACTGGGTTTTCTTTTTTTACTATAAAAGGTGTGAAAAGTTTGGAATACAGTCATGTTCATCACCCGTGAATCAGTAGTTTGTTCCTGCATCTTTCACTACCTACAGCTGCAGGTCTTTGAGGGGTCTTCAGTTCCAGCTTTGCGCATTTAAAGAGGAAAAAAACTAAGGTAGTAGGTTTAAGGTCCTTGTCAAGCTGGAGAACCTCTGCTCCATGTCAACATGTTTTCTTCAATACTGTTCTGTATTTAGCGATGTAGCTCTGGAGAAAGACTTATCAGGGCCAACCTTCGAGGTTGAGGAGAAGGGCAAACCTCACACATTCTGGACACAAACTATTTAGACATTTGCTTTCAGCTATAAAACATTGCTTCCAAAAACCAACCATCACAGAGACAGTTTCCTTCCCGTTCATTCTGACCAGCTTCCATGTCTGGTGCGAAAACAAGTTTCCTCACAGCATGAATCCACCAGCATGTTTCACCGTGGGGATGGTGTGTTCACAGTGACGTGGTGATGCATACCACTTTTCTTCTGTTGTTATTTGTTAAAGATAAACAACACATATTTTATTTCACTTCGCAGTTATGTGTTAATTTGTGGTTGTATAAAATCTTGATAAAATACATTTAAGTTTGTTGGTGTGACTTGAGCATTTACAGAACTACAGATATTTTTGCAAAGCACTGTGCTTAGTTTGGCTATTAGTACCTCTCCCCTCGGAAACTCTTGATACTTTCAACCTTGTTCTAGTTACATGGCCAGACACACATGTAATGTTTTATTCTGGTCAAAGTTCTGTTTCACATCTCAGAGGATAATTCCTCTGGTATGTCTGTGTCTATCTCTCTGTTTTCAGGCATTGAGATCATGTGTATCTACAAGTATGGATCAGTGGTAAGTGCTGTGTTATTTCTATTCTCTGCAATGCTCCATTCAGTGTCTGATGAAGGACAAACTCAAGTCTCAGAATGTTTAGTGTGTGAAGTGATCATTTCTAGGAAGTAGATTAATTGCCTTTTCATTGGTTATGTTTGTGTGTCCATCCCTGTTTTATTTGTAAATCATTCTTGAACATGTGTGCATTGGGGAGATTTTGTGTCATTGTGTGGTTTTTCCACAGTCAATGTCATTTGAGGCCCACAGTCTGACCGTCCCAAGCGTTGTGTGGCTTGGCCTTCTCCCTTCTGACCTGCAGAGGTTTGGAGTCACAATTTGCTACTTCCTATTTCCTCCTCCTGCCTCCAATTAGAATTATATTCAGAGGGCATTTAAATTGTTTGTTTTGGTTGCAGTTGCTGTTTACCTCTGTTTTCCCCTCAAGGGACTGCACTTGAGACTATATGGCATTTTAAGTATACATCAGTTTCAACAAATTTAGGGGAAAAAAAGCTTTTTGAGATGTATTTAATTGTAGTCTGCATCTTTTTCTTGTTTCCCTTCTCTGACCTAATTTCTTATTTTGTGCTTTACATATCCAGAAATGTTTGGCAGTAGAAATAGTTTTAGGCGATTACTCCAATCAGTAATGTGAAATGAAAATTACTTTCCTTAGGTTAAGGGTTCCTGAGGATTCCCTGATTCCTCTGACCAAGACAGATGAAAACAAGCTCACCAGTCTGCTCAAGAGGCCATACTTAACCAGCCAGCCAGACTGGTGCAAGGAGGTGAGTGCAAATAAAGTGCAGGAAAAGAGAAAAACAAACTTTTTTTTCTTCTTTTTCAGTTATTTAGCCTCACATTAAATTGGTAAAATATTCAACTGAGCATGTGTTTGCAATAAACAAATTAAATAAGGCAATTTGAATAGTTCAGCACATTTGGCTCAGTTCTAACTAATTATGTAACTGAGCCAACTGCTGTGTAAAGGTCGTCAGTTCGATAAAACGTGCCTCCTTTTTTAAATTAAAGGAAAGACTTTTAATCAAATTAAAACAACTGAGATGGGCATTTTGCCACCCAACTCACCCCTTTTCTCTTAAGGGGTTGTTGGTGGTGATAGAGGTGTGCTTGGGATCACTGTATCGCTGTCCTGCTGGTAGACCCAATGAAGGCCAAACGTCAACTCTCACAGTGACACCATGTGACTCCCAGTGCTTTTTGATAGCTTGTTAAATCCATGTTTTCCCCAAGCTACAGGCTTTACTGAGGCACCATCATACCTCATTGTAAGCATAGAGGTGATGATTTTAACGTGTCTTCATTCTTTGTCCCTGAGACATAGCGCTGATCCTCAGTCCTGACAAGTTCCAGGTTTTTTCACAATCCGGCTGAACAGATTCTCAGCTGGAACTAAATGTTTTGTTTCAATAATGCTGTGCGCCATTGATACCTTCCCTTTTAAGCTACATTCATGTAGAGCAGCCACTGTTTCTTTAACTTAATCATGTGCACTGCATCTTCGGAAAAACTTAGGGATTTTGCTAACCATTTGCATTATTTTGCCATTTTCTGGTCTTTTCTGAATGGCTAAATAATCCACTTGACTTATCTGTAGCCTACTTCTAATATTGGTTAATTTTTTTAAGCCTTGGTGGTTTGCACTAGGTGTGACCAGACCTGATATACAAATGGTTTAATGAAGAATTCTGTTCAGGTTGTTGAATAATTTATGGACTGCTTTGGTGAAATTTGTATGATTTAAGTTTTGGACCTAGATTTAAAATAACACTTTATGTGTTATATTGTTTCCTTATGCAGTTCATTTGTACTATATTTATTACAAATACCTGTTGTTTTTTTATATATATATTTTACTAATATGCCTAATTTTCATTAGTCATTCGACTTTTATTTACACATCTAAATAATACTGTAGAACAAGTTCACATACACAAAAAAATTTATAATCATAATAAACAGATCTGATATTTTTGGAAGCAGGTGCAAGAAATATCAGTTTTTTAAAAGGACAAAGTCCTTACACAGATTTGAGGTTTCCTTATGTGACAGAAGAATGTGTGTGAGAGAATAAAAATTAAACATGTTTGTACAGCTTCTTCTTCCATACCTCTTTAAAGTTGTTTGCTTGCCTGTTGTAGATTGAGCTGATGCAGCAGAGTAAAGTTAAGGCTGAACTGCAGTGCTTGTCCTCCATAGCTCCAGACTTCCTCACCAACATCTATCTGCCTAATAAGCTTCGATATGGAGGCTGGGTATGAACCCTGGTTCTGCTTAGAGGAATTGCTGGTTCTGGTACTGTAAAGTCATTTTCAAATAGGTTCTGTATCTGTTCTGTTGTATCTTATTTAATAGATTAGAAAATGATTCAAGGTCACTGCGTTTGCAGCTTTTAAACGTACCCACTATTGCATGTGTGTTTAGAGTGTGATTTGTATCATCTTTTGTGATGTGCTTTAATTAAACAATTTTCTCTTAATGTACAAGACATTTGTGGATACTGTCTGTGTATCATCTGATAAGTTTTAGCTGTGGACTGTGTGCATTCATATATTCAGCGACAAAATATTAACTCCATTTGTTTTAATAAATGGCACCTGTCATCACTTGCACATTTTTCTTGTAAAACGGTAAATAAATCAACCTACTATTTAAGCATATTTTATTTTCAAAACTGTTTCTTTTATATTTTTTCTTTCAAAATAAACTATTTATATTGTTTATTTTAGTGTGAAGAAATTTGAGAAGCGTGCTTGAAGAAAAAAATGCAATAAGGAAAATTAATCAAATTGAACAGGTTAAAATCACACCAAATTTCCTTTATAGTTTAAACCTATCAAGCGGACGGGAATGACTTTTGCCAAGCACAATAGCTCCACCTGCTGGCACTTTTATAAAACTTCGTAGATTCAATTCAAACATCTATTTGAAGAGGTACGACACTATTATGCAAAGATGCACCTGGTTTAAATTTCAAAAGCAGGAATCTGCTTATTTCCAGTGTTCTTGTTAAATATGAGCAAACACCGTTTTACATTGTGGGAACATTTAGTAAAAATAGCTCCTCCAGTTAACAACTGAAACAGTTTGTCAAGCTAATTCAGAAAAAGCTTTTTTTCAGTAGACTAAACGCGAGTTTTTACATTTTAAAAGTAAAAGAACAAAACGATCCGCCATTTTTTTTGTAAGCAGGCAAAGTTTACTCACATTTATGGGAAAAATAAGCTTTTGCAGTGTTCTTAATTTTTATAAAAAATAAATAAATAAAACCTAATATGATATTCGTTTCAAATAGCCACCTGTATTCCCTTTGCTATGGCAAAAACCTAAAATGAAGATTACTAGACGCGCATCACCGCCCCCTGGCGGTAGTCAAGGTGAAAGCGCATGACTCCTTTCGCAATACAACATGGTAACTGAAATGCCCCCAGCAGGAGTTTTTCATCGGAAAAGAACCGAATCAGCCAAACCAGAACTACCAGGTAAGTCAGTTCCAGAAGAAATGATAGAATGTTGTCAAGGTGGTTTATACTGAATCAACGGAATCAGAGTGCTGTTTATATATTCTTAAAAGCTTTAGCATACACAGCTTTTGGTTTGCAGGAGTTGGAAGTGCTGCATTAAAATAATCTATTGCTCATTCCAATTTAATTCCATCTAGTGATCTGTAATAGAGACAACTAGATGGTTTGGAAGGTTTTTGTCAGAAATAAATTATTAAATGTGTTAAAGGTACAGCTGAGTTAACTGATAACACCAGAAAGGTCGATTTGTGATCTTGCCAAAATAACTTCATTAGTGGTTTCTTTATACTAATCATTAACTCATCAACTAACACTGATCAATGAAAAGTATGCTCTACACTTTTTTGTCAAGGAAGCTGGTTGCAACTGTAGTGGGAAATATGTAACCTCTGTTTTTGTGACTATAAATGCTGGTATTGCATTGGGAAAGTGGTCAATAACAAAGCTTTTCTGTTGTTTCATCAAGATACATTTAAAGTGGAATAAAAGTTTAGAACAGCTTTTTTGTTTGTTTATTATATATGTTTTAACATATATGATATACAATTTAAAATCTCTTACAAATATATTTTTACTTTGAATGTTCTGATATGAAAATTGGAGCCGATATTGATACCCAATAATAATGCTGCTGTTATGGACAATGACTTGATACATATTGTATTTCTTTACAGTTTGACACTGTGTAAAAATGACATCACGTATATTGCTTCTGTGCTTCAGTCAAGCACCCGACCTCCTTGCCACTGGCCAGTAATCAGATAACTGAAAGTCAATTGTAAACTGTGTGATTTGACAAATGTTTTGTTATTTATTATAACATCAGTGCACATGTCAAAGGCATCTGTAAATCGAAACATTATTCACATGTTAATTTATTAGTTTACCAAAAAAATGAAAATTCATTTATAGATACATTACACAAAGAATAATGTATTATAAAGAGTTTATTTCTAGTAATTTTGTCTACTTTAGAAATATCAACCTTTTGAAGAGTATGTGCTTGCAGTTTAAGCCCTCATTACTTGGTCGTGGTTCTTTTACATGGATAAGTGCATCATGGTGTCAGCCAGTAGATCTGCTCATGTGTTAAGAAAGTCCAAATTGCCTCAGCAGTCTTCAGCTCGTCTGCAGTTGGGGAGTTGGTCCTTCATCTTCCTTCTAAAAATACTTAATGTGTTTTTGGGGGGCCTTTGGTGAACACAATTTCCTGAAATTCAATCAGTTATTAGTGCTTTTGGCAGTTTGCAGGGCCCATAATGCATCAGCATCTCTATAAAGTGAAAACTTGGCACGCTTTAAAATTCCCACACATAGCAGGTTGGTACTAAACAGGGAACTGCCTACGGTTAATCAACAACAGTGAAATACAGTTACATCTACTCTCATAGAAACAAATCCAAACTCAAGACTTTTTTCTGATCATGAATATTAACGGTTGATAGGTGCATCATTGTGATCATTAGGTAGTGTTCAATAATAGTGTTCCAAAATATATTTTTTTTAAACTTGAAAACTGTTTTTAATTATCAGTCACAAATTTTGTTGTAGTAAAAGAGAAAACTTTTCTATCAAAAACAATAATCTCCCAGCAGGTAAACCTAATTATTTTTTAGTTATAAAATCTTTTTTCTTTTCAGTTTTTTTTTTTTGTCAAAGTTGAAACATTTTGGTATGACAGGTTTTTTTGGAGAAAAAAAGATTGAAAGGATGCAAAGGATTGCAAATAGCTCTACTTTATTTACTCTGGAGAAAATGCTACCAGGTGATTTCACTTTGCAACTTTAGTTGAAACTTTTCAGTACTTTTTTCTCATTACAGCTATGAACCTCAACATATTTTCCTGGGATATGAAGTGAAAGACAAATACAAAATATTTAATTATTTAATTATGAAGTGAAAGGAAAAGATTTTATGGCTTATTTTTTATGAAAATTTAAGAAGTGAGCGATGCATTTGCATTCAGCCCCGTTACTCTCATACCCCTAAATAACAACTATTGCCTCAAAATGCTTTAAGAAATCACCTAATTAGCACAGGATTTATTTTAATCTCAGTATTAACGTAATTGTTTTACGCAGTGGTTTGTTTGCTAACATTAGATCAGGTTTAACGTTATAGAGACGTTCAAATCAGGGTTACAGTATAAAACAGCATCCCATGCTTTCAAGATCCCATGGAACATTGTTCTCGCTGAATACACAGCTACTGCTGTTGTGTGATCAACAAAATTTTACTGGTTGTATTTAAATCTGAATTTGTCAATATGGGTTAGGTTGTACTGGGATGAAGTGGATTGACTTAATTAGATACTTCAGTTAGCAATGAATTCAATCAGTGCTTTGAATTTGCATTTGTTGTAAATTGGCACAATAAAAATGAAATGAATTGAACTGAGCTGAATTCAGCTGAATTGATCTGAACTGACCTACAGTTAGTTATTTATGGTGCCACTGTTCTCTCTGCCCTGTTGCTGCAGCTGTTTCGTTATCGTCAAGGCTTAGCAAAATCCTTTCTTGTTAGTAATATTGTTTCCTTCATTATAAAATATTGCACAATCTGATTCCTTGTTTGTAAAATAATTAGGTGTGTCTATAACTTCATGCTGATGATGTGATGCAATAATAGTGTTCCAATTAAGATTGCATTGTGTTACTTTGTTGAGAAATATCACACACTCACATGATCTGAAACCAACAATAACATGAAGTCATAGCACATCTCACTAACTAGGTTATTAGTTTTGTATGCTCTACTTTTTGCTTATTTAAACTGGTTTAGTTGTACAATAAAGTTCTCATGACTGGTTGATTATATCTAATATTTTATGACGTTTAAAAGTGCAGAGTTGCTTCTGTTTCTTAAGGATTTAGGTGGAAAAAAAAGATTAAACTGATGGGGGTTTTTTAGCTTGTATTGTATAAACAAACTCAAGATGTACAAAATAGCCATTCATGAATTGCAATAGGTGCCATGCAAGGCTTTCACCACGTGGGGGCGTAGTGGGCCCCTTGTTCCTGCAGATGTATGGCTCTCAGATTAGACGCCTCCTTCCTGAGCTGATGACTCATAACTAGTGCAGGAGCTTTTTTTCCCCCCATGAAACACAAGAGAGTATGAGGATTTTATGTTTCACATCCAGATGATGTGGAGGATCACTGGTTTTATTAAGTTGCACCAAAGCACACATTTGTGTAGCTCAAAGCCTGTTTCAGTGTAACTGGCATGCTTAATCAGATATGGGTAATTAAAGATAATAAAAATAATAGAGCAGAGATATTTTCCTGCTTGCAGTCATTTGATCCATAGTTTATTTAAGAGTTGTGTGAGTGATTGCCACATTTGCTCAAAAATTGCCCTGATATCATTCCTGCATGCAGAAGAATATTATGAATGAAGCTGATATTTGTCCCCCATCTGTTTCAGCTTGGAATTTATCCCGCAGAACATCTGCACATGACCACCGTTTCCGCATCCACCACACACGCATAAAAGCCCTGAAAGCAGCCTTTGACCTGAAAAACCCTCCGACTCCGTGAAGCAAGGATGGTTTTGATCCTCTCCACTCTGGGAGAATCGCTTTAAATTCACCTTCAAAGCGAAATGTGTGGTGAAAACAGGAATGAAAGTGAAGCATACATATTATTTTATAAAATGGGGCTTTAATCAAAAACTCAAGTTGAACTCTACATGCATTCAGATATGTTGAAGCTGGATCAGTTGCAGACTTCATTTGTGGGTTTTGATCACTACAAGAGCCGCAGGCAGGAGCAAATCCTTGTACATCTCCTGACCTCTTTGTTACACTTCATTTCCCTCCATTTATATGTGCATGCTGGCTTCACGGCTTCTTATCTCGGCAAGTTTTGTAGAGGCTTCGTCTGAAGCGTCAAATCATGTGGGCATGAGATGCCACGAGCAGAGTGTGCATGTACATGTGTGTGTATATTTTTGAAAAAAACTCAGATTGCATGTTGGAGACAGGTGCAGACATGGTGATGCAGTGTAGCGCGGCGATAATATTATGTCGGTTGCTGCGTGATCAGGTAATGCTTGAGACGGCCTGGGGGTTGAGTGAATGTGTTTGCAGGTTTTAGCTCCATTCCTCTCTGTGTTAATCCTGATGCCATGCACATCTGTGACACCCCCCCTCCAGCCCACCTCACCGCCTCCCCTGCTGCCGACCCCACTCACGTGTGCTCACAGATCCGCTGCATGGCTGGATTCCCACTGCAAGCATCTCACTGCCGCTCTCCCCCACCCCTCTCTCTCTCCAGACTCTCTATTCTTAATTCTCCTATCATTCTATCAATATCAAACCTGGATTGCAAAAACTATCAGATCCAGATGTGTGCTAAAAACCATGGGCTAAATCACAGAGTAAAATGTTTTAGGGATTTAGACAGAGGTGTGGTAGGCAAGACTTAGTGACCTAAAGCCTTCTATCTTTGCTCATTTTATACCACTAACTACATACCTGTTTGTCAGATCTCTTGCAGCAACAAGCATCTGGTGACACACAACTAGAGGAGACAAAACAGTCACAAGAGACTCAAATTTCTATGTTTTCTCAGCAGGTGTTATGAGATTATGCATGCTTTAAAACAAAAAATGCACCTTGTCTGTATTAATGTCTTATCATTTGCATGTTCTACAATTCATGAAACAAGACAAGGCTGATTTCATTGTGATTTAAGCATCTTGATTGACTTTGATGAGCTCTGTTTAAAAATCATACCTGTACTGAATTGAAAAATAAGCTGCACTTGAAGCATAATTTTCTTATCGCATTTAGTAAACTTTCTGAATTAGTTTTGAAAAGCAGCCGTTTCAGTACTTACTTGGGAAATTGAACCAGATTCAGTTTAAGACTCACTAGTTTAAAACGTATTTGAAAAACAACGTAAGAAAATCAGTTTATTTAGTAGTTTATACTTTTATCTTGTTACTGTGTTTTTAGAGCTTGATTTAATGCAAATTCAACAATGGCGAATAAGGTTATTGATACATACAATCCAACTGATACACTGTTTATAGGTAGAAATCATATTATTACATGGTATTTCTAGTTCTATTTAATCTGTTAACTGAGCATATCTATTGACAAAACCCTCTGATTTTCAAACTTTGAACTGGAACCGTGTTAGATTGAGAACAACCACCAGTACCACAGCTGAGTACCATAACAGGCCACCTCAACAATAGAACAATAGAATGTCTTTAGAGTTTTATTGTAGTTATTCAAATTTGGATGATTATAGCTTGTAGCTAATGGGCATATTAAGTAGTCAAAAAATTACAGGTCCATAAAAATGCAGGCGCCTTTTGCATGAATGACTGCATCAGCGTTTGATTTGAGTAATTTTAATAGCCCTGCCACTCCTGAGAATGTTCTGTTTCTCCATTTGTTGATTGTTGTGGTTGACTGGCATCCTAATAGAGGCTAATAGATGACAAATACTTTGTTTCTTAAATTTCTTTTGCATGATGTTTTGGTTTGTGAGTCCTACTTCCTGTTGTCAGACAGGTTGTTTTCAACGGATTTCTTTGATAAGCCTGGTGAAATACAACTTAGCTGTAGTTAATCACAAATCATTGATGATGGGTATATATTTTATTTACTGAGCTTGTTTTTGTTGTTGTTTGTTTTTTAGTGTGACAAATAAGGCAGAAATAGCTTAGAACAAATCTTGTAAAGGATGATTATTTTTTTCACAGCACTGTATATTCAGAAAGTGAACTTTTCCATGATATTGTTAGTTACTAGAATCCATTGGGGGGGGGAATAAAATAAAGTATTGGCCAGGGAAAGAAGTTTCTCTCTAATAAAAGAATCTCAATCGGATTTCATTCAGACGTTCCAGACTTTGTGATAATTCTGCTATGACTTTAAATTGTATGAACAAACTCCTCCCCTCGACTCGCTCTTCTGTCATCTGAAAAAAGTAAAGAGAGAGAGAAAAAAAAAACTCGCATGCATCGGAATGATAAAAACGACAATGTGCTCGCTGAACCCTGGCACGGTGTGGAGCAGCTGAAGTTGATTAGGACTTTTCTGGCAATAAAAGACTGACATTAAAGTGGAAGTAGAAGTGTTTAGAAACTCTCCGACTCGCTGGGACAGCTCTCACTTACTGACTGATGGAAAGAGAGAGGAGGAAAAAGGGGAAATCTTTTCGCTCAAGCAGAAGCGCCATGGACTGGCGGAGCAACATTTAACGCTTCTTTTTTTGTCTCTTTCTCTCCCTTCTTCTTGTTGTTTTGGGCGCAATGACGGACTATCCTCCGCGTGCTTGCGTGTAGCATGAGACTTGAGTGCGAGATGTCTAGCGCGAGGCCGAGTAAGAGCGTGGAATGGCTGCAACTGGAGTTGGAGACCGGAGGCGCTTCTCTGCTCCTGCTGGACTGCCGCTCACACGAGCTGTATGAATCATCCCACATAGAGACCGCCATCAACCTGGCCATGACGGGGCTCATGCTGCGGAGGTTCAAGAAGGGCAGCATCCCGATCCAGACCGTCATCCCCAAACACGAGGACAAGGAGAAGTTCGTGAGGCGGTGCAAGACGGACACGGTGGTCCTGTACGACGAGAGTTCCGCGGACTGGCAGGACAGCGGCTCCCCGGCCACCGTGTTGTTCCTGCTTCTTAACAAACTGCGAGAAGACGGCTGTAAAGCCTACTTTCTTGAAGGTAAGGATTTTTAATTTCAGTATAAACTTATAGAGGATTAAATTATTCGTCAAGGACGTGTGTTTGAGGTGGATTGACCAGTGCAGTTTTGACAGTTAGCGCTGTAACTGTAAACTACACCAGAGGGGAAAAAAAAGTCATTTTAAATGTTTCACATTTGGACGGCTGTTCTTTTTTTTCGTTTGTTAAAGTATGTGTATGTCTCTGTTATTATTATGCTGTAGAGACTGACTTGTGAGCTCCTCCTGTGTCGTGTGGTTGCAGTTTGAAAGCTGCTCAAAAGTTTGTGTCACTGCTGAGATTCTCAATTAAAATTCCAAAATGGCTGCGGCATGTTTTGCTCCAGCAGGAACATACTTGTATTTCATGAATGGCCCGTCTCGGGGGTCTTATACTTCAGGATACCAGAAGTAAATGTACTTTTCTTTTTGCTTTTACCGTTTCGATAAGTATACTCTGGTTCCTGGTTTTGTCATATCTAAATCAGATATGTTTTTTTTTTTTTTTTTGAGTGTGTTTTGCTGCACACTTTTGGTCAGTTTGCTGAAAGAAGGTGAACCTACCTGCAGCGAAGGTTTTACACTTTAACTTTTGTTTGAGTTTACATAAAGTAGTTCTGCCCCCTCCCATTTATTTATTCACTGCTCAGCTGGTTGAAATAAAGTTGTTACACTTTTCTTTTGCTTACAAGAAAGGAAAAAAATGGCTTACTGGAATTATCTCTGGGGGAAAAGAATGATTGTTATGGTGTGGAAACTATCTGTATCAAAATAACAATAAATGTTATAGATGAGATTATTCAAACTTTAATAATCTGTAGTAATGCATTCGTAGCTATGTCAGATTATTGTATCTGCAGTAGAAATAAGTGCTACTTTTGTTTTTAAATAAATTAGTCAAATCATCTCTTATGTTTTTGATAGACATATTAATAAATAAATAGCTTAAATTTATTTTAATATAAAAGAGGCATTTCAGTGCTAATATCTCTTCCATTTCAGTTTTGAAAGATTAGAATTTTATGAACTAAGGACTAAAAATACTAATCAAAACATATTGCAATTGTTATCTAATTTTTGGACTGAAAAAGTAAATTGGATTAAGACATTTAAGTAAGCTGAAGTATTTAGTTTTAGTAGATAGTTTGATATGCAGAAATAGATCATTTCCAATAAAGGAGAAATTCTGAAATTCCGATTTCTGATTGTTTTACTGGCTCATCGTGAACTAAAATAAATCTTTTTAGACATAATTTAACTGTGTTTGTATTTCAATTCAGGTGGTTTTGTGAAGTTCCACACAGAGTATCCAGAACACTGCGAGACTCTCCTGGACAGCTCCTGTCCGAGCTCCTCTCCCCCGATGCCCGTCCTAGGTTTCGGAGGTCTCCGGATCAGCTCGGACTGTTCAGACGGCGAATCTGATCGAGAACCCAGCAGTGCGACGGAATCAGAGGAGAGTCCCGTTCCCAGCAATCAGCCAGACTTTCCCGTCCAAATCCTACCTTACCTCTACCTGGGCTGTGCCAAAGACTCCAGCAACTTAGATGTGCTGGGCCAGTACAACATCACGTACATCCTGAACGTCACACCGAATCTGCCCAACGTGTTTGAGCACAAGAGCCACTTCAGATACAAGAAGATCCCTATTTCGGATCACTGGAGTCAAAACTTGTCCCAGTTCTTTCCAGAAGCTATATCATTTATTGGTAATTATTATGTTTTACTGTCGATTTTACTTTGTAAGTCTAACTGGTTTTGACACAATTTTGGTGGTAATTTTAGACTAAAGAGTGGAAGGTAGAGATGGACCCGTTAATTGGACCATAATTAACTGGTCCAATTAGCTCAGATAATAGAAAATCAATGTAATTTTTTTCTCCTTCAATGCATTTTGTTTATTTGGTTAAAAAAAAAAGATTTTTTTTTAAATATTTAAAACTATTACCTTTTTTAAGAAAGCCAGAGTACTTATCTTTTTCAGGTATAGTTACAGTTCTTAAAATAAAAATAGTCTTTTGGTCATAATCTGAATCAGAATATGAAAGAAAACTGGAAATTGATATCAGAAAACATGAGTACGATGAGTTTATCTGTGTTGGATAGATTTAATCAAAATTCCTTAGTTTTTCACTTGTTTCGATGGAAGTTAAGTTGAAGGTAAAATAAGAAACTCTATTAATAGTTTGATAACATTACAACACCCTAAATTTACTTGACATATTTTTGTTGTTTTATGGCAGTGCTCCAGCGCTTCGATTCAGTTTTGCTTTTGGTTTGGTGTTTCTCACCATGACTACACCTGAAACCACAGCTATTCACTTGTTTGGTGGTTGCTGTGTTGTCACGGGTGGGATTCTCAGTAGGTTCAAACACCGAATGAGGAAGGAAGTGATGTTTCCGCTGCATGGGGTTGGGTTTGATTCTAGCTTTGCAAGCTGACAACTGTCAGCGGGCCTGAGTGAGATTTGCACTATTAAAGGAACACTCCTAATACTGATTGAATGGTGTTGTTTGTTTACACATTCCTGACCTGGATTTTTCCCTCTCTGCTGCAGATGAGGCTCGATCTAAGCGCTGTGGCATCCTTGTCCACTGCCTGGCCGGCATCAGTCGCTCAGTCACAGTCACCGTGGCCTACCTGATGCAGAGACTCAACCTGTCTCTAAACGACGCCTATGACTTTGTGAAGAGAAAGAAGTCCAACATCTCGCCAAACTTCAACTTCATGGGACAGCTCTTAGACTTTGAGAGGACGCTGGGGCAGCACACACCCTGCGACAACCGCTCTACCAGCGAAGAGCAGCTTTTCTTTACCACCCCAACCAATCACAATGTGTTTCAGCTGGAGTCGACATGAGGAGCAGGCACAGTTGTTTATGCTGTTGTTGTTGTTTCCTGTGGTGGTTTTCTGAGCTTGTCGGATGCCTGACTTGCTGACGCAGGCGGTAAGTCAGCAATAGTGTTCAACAACTTCACAACAAGCCTCATTGATCTGTTAAAGCAACAGAATCCATAAGCTTCTGTCTCAATGCCTTAATATCTTAACAATAGAAGCAATCTAACGTTCCACCACATTTGTTTTAATGAATGGCCATGTATAGTCGTTATAGATGAACTTTTCATAATATTTCTTTTTAAGACTTTAAATGTTTTTGGACGGTTGTTTGCTGTACTTTTCTAGTTTGTTTATGAATAGGCATGGGCTGGTATGAGATTTTCATAGTGTGATTACTTTGAGTAAAAATACAACAGTTTCACAGCATTATAGTAGAATTTTAATGAAAAATGCTCAACACGAGGCAATTCTTTTCATATAACAGAGAAAAGCAAAAATCTATTCCTACTGTAGCTGAAATATTACATATAATAAAAATATTACACATTATGCACAAATAGCATATTAAAAACCACAAATAAATGAATTGAATAAAAGTTCATTAACATTTTTATATTAAATGTTACCATAAACAGCTACAGTGTCAAAAATATGACAAAATATCCATATAGCACCAAAAGGTGCTACCCAGTTAAGAAATTTCCCTTTTTAATTAATGTGTATTTATCTATATTTATTAGTAATTAAAGAACCATAGTGATCAAGTCTCACAAAAAATTGAAGTTGTGATGTGGCCAAACAGAGATTGATGCTTTTTAACTATAAATAAATAAAGTTGTATATTTTTTTTTTTTAGAAATTAAGATGTTAACTTTGAGGTAATACAAAGAATGATAACTAAGCAGTCTGGGAACTCAAAATGTTTTCATAGTCAGTTCAAGACTGTATATAAACCCAGTTACAAGAACTTGTGCAAAATAACCTTCTTCTTATTGTAGCACTGGAATTTAAAGAAGCTACTCTTAGACCGTTGATTAGCATGGCTAACTGTGCTGTCGGAAACAGCAATAAGCTCCTAACAAAAGCAGCCATGTTAATAAGAGTTGATAGAACCCTTCTTTAACTCTCAAGTATTTTTAAACAGTTTTATTTTGTTGTAAGTGAAGAAAAAGTTAGGAACCTTCTTCCAGTCAGCTATCAGTGTGCAGCAACAGGTTGGGAAGGGGGCAGCACTACCTTCTGCTTCGAATAACCAGAACTGGCTTCTAATTAACTAACCACAGAATGGTGTGAAATTTAAGGGGGCTTTGAACTATAAATGTCTAAAAGCGTGGTAAAAAGGTTGATACCGGCCCATGTCTACTTGTGAATAATGCCTTGCTAAAAGATTTGTGGCCAATCCGAATGTTTTCTGGGGTCCAATACAAGATGTGTTGTTATTTTAGCTGAGGGGGAAAAAGCTACCATATGGAGGCAGCTACAGTTTTCCTGCTGCTTGAGTTTTGACAGAAGACTTCTCTCGCATCTGGCAAACAATATATTAGAACTGAACTGTTAGTTACCATGTTGAGGTGTAATGAAAGACTGGCTTTCCCCACAGTTAAAAAGGAGCAGCTATGTAAGTAAGAAGGGTACAAACAACTGGAAACCCACCTTATTTTGTTTCCCTCTGACACTTTGCAGCCTGCAGCTACTTCCTCTCATAGGAGTTCCCGTGTGTAAATAGTTTTCATCTCCCTCTCTGTTTCTCTCTTTCTCTTTTCGTCATATCTTGTATTTGAACAGGTGAATGAATTTAATGCGTGAAAGGAAATGAGAAGAAGCGAGATTGACCGGAGCGTTCTTACCTCAACAAAGAGACATTTTTCAGGGATTTTTATACAAGTGGGTTGCGCGTCATCCTGGTCTCTTAAAACGCACCCAAGGGCTGTTTTGTTTCATATGTTTGTAACGATGTACATAAAGTGGTTGTTACGGGAGACATTTTCTGTAAATCATGAAGGATGTGGAAGTGACCCTTGTTGGAACTCTTATGTATTGCATATATTGAGCTAAAAGGCATTCTGTACACGTTTTTACAGTAAATATATTGTATATTTTTACTTGAAAATAGCTTCTTTGCCTTTTTTTAATCTAAGCTTTTAGTCGTTAATAGAACAAAACAAAGTGGTGGTATGGTTGAGTCATAACCAAAGAGAGCTGTCTGAGACATTGCAAGTTGTCCAGGCTCAGAGATGTAGTTGTGGTCAAATGTCTTTTTTTTCTTCTTTTTTTTCTCTGGCTTCCTGTCTCCAGTGAGGTCTGACAAAAAGGCAAGTCACAAGGCCAGATCTGTCAACAGCACATCGCCAACACGCCCTCCAGCCATCAATCAAACTCCACTTAAAGAAAAGAGGAAGATGATACAGCAGTTATTCTGACAGCTCTCCTCTGCAGAGAGCACTAAGAGTTTTCTCGCCTGCCGTTGTGACTTTATTGGAGATTGTGGTTTCGGTTCTAACTGACAAAAGTGCAATATCCTGTCTTCTTTTACAAGAAAGAACAAATGACGTATTTGCACACATGCTGCCGCTTAAACAGCAACTGAAAGTGATAAATTATGCGTGCTTTTCTCTACGACTACATTTCGAACGAGGTTTTGCGTTACGTTGTACATGAGAACACTCAGTGGCCACTTTATTAGGTACACTTTGTGAAGTTCCAAAAAAACATCATTCTGGGGAAGAACATTTAGGTGACATTATTACAACAGGCTCGTCTGAGTGTCTCAGAAGCCAATGAGCTTCTAAGACTTTCACACACAACCTTCCAGGTTTATGGAGAATATTCTTAGAACAAGAAAAAGATCCAGTGAAGCCACTTTTATTTTTTCTTCACAATGAAAGTGCCATATGTGAGGAGTACAAACAGACTGGATCATGGTGACAGAAAGGCAGTAGTCGCTAAAATAACTGCACATTACAGCAAAGTGTGCAGAATGCCATCTCTGAACACACAAAATGTTGAATGTTGGAGCAGAGCAGAAGCAGAAGACAAGGCACCAGACTTTCTGTTCTTTGCTGTAATGAATAAATCTGCAGCAACTATCATGTCAATGACAGTTGTAGACATAATCTTTCCTTTGAATAATGTGAAAATATAACTGAAAAGTAAGAGGTTGAGATGTCTATGTCTAAAAATGTTTAAAATATGATTTGAGTTCATCAACCAGCCGGACCTTCCACATCATTGTTCACTGATTGGACCTATTGACCAAAGAAAGTCAGTTTTTTATTTACTTATTTTTCCATTTGGTTAAATAAAACTAGTACTGACCAAACTATACGCATTAAAAGTTTCCACATGCTATTGAGGGCAGAAGTGGGACGTGTCTCTTGTCTCTTGTCCTGTCATCATAGCTGAACTGACAGAAAACTGATTATTTCCTAGATTTTTTTCAAAAGATGTTGACTAAATGTTTGTGGGCCCATACATGAAAAATGGATTTTTATAGCCTATGAAACAAATATAGCTTATTTGGACATCCTATGAGTCATTTCCAAATGTAGCTTAAGAAAATACTCACTGGTCTCCCTTTTCATCATAACAATACAGCAGAATATGTCTTGTGGATGACTTTGGTAAAGTCTTTTACAACAGAGTTTAGCTCAGTGCTTTTGTGCTTGAATGTTGTAGCTGAAGCTTCTCCTCTTTATTTGATCAAATCTCAATATTATCAACTGTTTGAATCCACAACCTGCATATCTACCGCTCAACCGCAAAACATTCAGCAAGCTAATTCAAAATGAGGTAATGATGAAATTTGGTGACAGTGAGTTCATACTTTGCAGACCAACATTTTGGTGCAATTACTGTTGCAAGTGTTTTGCTTTTGTATTTTATAGCAGCCTGGCTCATCTGAAGACTGGTAGTTTTGGCCAACTCTGTTCAAGCTTAGTTGACTGAATAGGCTGGATGACTGAGTGAAGAGATCTCTGTGAGATGTTGTTTTTTATCCTAATCCCGGTTCAGGTTGGTTTACAACTCCATCACTGATCTATTTGTTGTTTTTATTGCTCTTCATGATGCTGTGTGTTCGCTAGAACACCTCTGAAACCTTCAAAGAAAAGTTATTTTTATCCCAAAATGAAACGACAAACAAATGTACTGTATATTTACCAAGGTGATGTCGGACAGCAATTTGTCATACTGGATTTTTTTGTAAGCATATCAGGATTAAGGGAACAGTGACCAACGGAGGCCAACAGAGAAGGAAACGGTGTTGAGTTAAACTTCGAGCTGGATCCATTCAGCATCTTTTGATAACTGTCTTACGACAGGCTCTGATATTCCTCAAAAACTGTTCACCTTCACCTTCCAGGGCAGCATGAAGAGACTTGCCTGGCACCACCTCTCTGTGGTCGGAAAAAAAAAAAAAAAAAACCTACCTGTTGAATGATGGCTTTTTGAACATGACTGAACCTGGCAAGCCACATACCTGCTGGGCAAAGCGGTGATTAAGGCTGAAAAGACACCATGGTGAGGAAATGGTGAGCGATGGTGTCTGTGGATGATGGGAGATAACCAAAAATTATAGAGTCCTTATCTGGAGCCGACACTAAACATCTGTGGTACAACAGCGGTGTTGTACAAGAGTACAGAATGATTTATGTTACTGCACACCTTTAAATACCAGTTTTTATGGCTGTCGCTGTGCAGGGCCTTTTGATTTAATGCAAATTAGTTTTCCGTGTGTGGCTGCAGACATTTGCCTCTTTTTTATGCTAGACTTTTTTTTTTTTTCTCCTGAATGTCTGACCTGAGTTAAAGCTATTTGTAGCCTATAATTATAATGTAACTATGTTCTTTTGGCTGCTTTAAAGATCTGTGTGAGGTCCCCACACTTCAGTTGCTCCATAAAAACACACAAAAAAATATTACTCTGTTCATAAAATAAGGAAGCACAGCTTATTGAGAAGGGTGATTAAACATTTTAGGTCAATCCCTCAAAAAACATTAATGACATGATCAGGGCAGTGGATTGTGATCTCATCTATCTGAGTAGGCCTCGGTTTTAGTAAAACAATTGCAGGGCCAGTTTTGTCCTCTTATGATCTCTTGAGAAGGGAAGCAGAGGCTAATGTTATGTTTACTCAGCAGTCACTGCTGGGGAAGCAGATGTGCATTAGTTCGCTATGGGGGCTGGAGAAGGGATGTGCATGTTTTCAGGCCTGTTTATAATGTGTGTATTTATTTGTGTGCGTGCGTGTGTGTGTGAGTAGGCATGTGTGTGTGGAGAGCAGAAGTCAGTCGGCACTGGTTCACACCTGCTGTAGTTGTAAGAACATAGTTAACATAGTGTATGACTGACACTTTCACAGCTGCTGTGCTTCCGCTGCACAATAACAGGGAGGGATTCTTTTGAATTAAGCCCTGGACTATATATTTAGCATGCACCAATCTACTTTGTCATGCTGATAAAACAATGCCTTAAACAAATCTAACATCTAAACAGTGGGCCATTATTATCGTCTATATGTTCGGGAGTGCTGCTGTAAAAAGCTGTTCTCGTGTGAATGACTGCACACAACTTACTTCAGGGATTTCTGGTCCCAGTTGTCTCACTCCACTTGTGTACAGCAGATGTTCAGGCCCACAGAGAATAATCCTAATCTCAGTGTTTGGCTGCATGCTTTCTCTGACATCATGGTGTTCAGGATGGGATGACATCATGGCTGCAGCGTTCCCATCTGAGCCGTGCAGTTGGTCTAATCACTAAATGACTGCACCATCGTTTCAGCTTTATGATAGAGCTACTGTGTTTTCCCTGTGTATTATATATATACATATATATATATATATATATATATATATATATATAGATATATATATAGATATATATAATCTATATATATATATATATATATATATATATATATATATATATATATATATATAGCTCTTTTGAATGTGTAGATAATCAGACAAATTTTTATGTGGTACGAGGATAGTCTGAAATAATGTCATTTAAAATAGCAACTTAGTTCAAAATTTATTTACCTCCTCAAGAAATTATGAATTAATAAATCACTAACTTTGCACACTGACATGTTTCCTTGAATGAACTTTTAAAAAAATACTCTAATTTGTTACTGCTAATTTTATTAGCTTTGCTCAAACTCTAATTCTCGTTTGAATAATTATGAAATCAAAAGTATAGCTTGAGGAGAACTAATCAAATTTGCTGTAGGTTAAAAGAAAATGTTTTTAATAGGAGTGGCCGCCTTTCTAAAAATAATTTCAAGAGCGCATCAATGACTCATCTAGGAAGTCACAAAAATGCAAGCTACGTTCAAAACTGAGCATGTCTTGTCTCAGTTGCCTACATCAGTTTTTGAAATGTAATATGTAACAATGTATTGTCTATTATATGTTGCATGATTTTGTGTTCTTGTGTTTATGATGTAAAGCACTTTGAAATGCCTTGCTGAAATGTGCTATACAAATAAAATTTGATTGATTGATTGATTGATCATGGTGAGTGTTCAGGAGCCGTCATTAAGAAGGAGGCTTGGTAACAGTGATAAAAGTGGCATACGCAAGGAGAGCCCAAAAATAAGAAGAAAGGTACATCCCATATTTGCCATGAAAAACATTTTAATGAGCTCCAAGACTTTTTGGAAAATATTCAGTGGACTAATAAGGCAAAAGCGAAACTTCTTTAAAAGGGTGTGACCTGTTACATCTTACAAGAAAATAACATTTTAGAAAAGCAAAGTCATCCTCGAAGTCAAACATGGTGGTGGCATCGTGACTTTGCCTTTCAGAGTCATCAGTTGCAATTCAACCCTGACAATACAGTACCAGAATAGTCTAGTCAAAGTCTGGACTGGACAGTAGTGTGGGGTGACTTTTAGCATGCCATTCATGTTCAAAGACGCTCCCAAAAACTCCCCCACAACAATGTAAAAGACTTGTTGCCTTCTTGATGGCAGTTGTTGCTGCCTAGGTTGATATACCCAGTCATCAGGTTTTCAGGGCATTTATTTTTCACATAGGGATACGCTTATTTAAATTGTTGTTTTTTCTTTCCTTTATTAATAAAGTCCTCTTGTCAAAACTG